GCACACTTTAAACCAGGGAGCTCTTAGCTAGATCCTGAACTCTGCTGAGTGTCCCTGCAGGGTTTAGTTGCATCACAACAGTGAGCATGCAGCTGCAGCATGGAGGCAGCACCACAGGGCATGTGGCCCAGGGCCATCACCTGGGTGTTGTCTAGATTGGCAAAATTAAAATGCAGCTAGGTGGTCCTGTTAACTCCCCAGTTCTAGGGATCCTGTCCAGAGCCCCTCACATGCACTAGGTAAGCTCTCTACAGACTGTCAAAACCAAAAATAATGTTAGTGTCTGTCTACGCCTGGGGAAATTACCCACACTGAAAATTTGCGTGGGATGCAAACCTGTGGCAGCTCCAGTCCACTTCTCTGTGCAGCAATGGGAGGGCAGGTGGAGAGAAGAGAAGACACTGGAGTGTGGAAAAGGCTGTGTTCCTCTGCAGTTGTGCGGACTAGCATGTGGCAAGCCCTCTGCTGGACAGGGCTGTGTCCCCCATGAGGGCATTTTTTCATATGCTCTTTCCAGCCTTGGGCCATGGAGTGTCTGTGCTGGAGAAACTTCTGAGGCAAGGTGTCAAGGTGAGATCAACTCACTTGTAAACGGGATTTTTTTTTTTTTTTTAAATATAGTAGGTTGGTTAAGGAGACAGGCTGAACTCTTAGGAGAATGAATAGCAGCAATGAATGTGCAGCATCGGCTCAGAATTTCCATGAATAAAGTTGGGGCGTACACCCCACTTGTCATGGAACTTGATAAAAATACAACTTAGAAAGACACAAAAACTACCAAAACAGTCGCACCGAATCATCTCTGTGAATCTGTGCCAGGAGGCCAGAGGTTCCTGATCGCATATCTTGTTTTTTTCTTACCCTGGAGTTGTAACCCTAATTCAACTCACCACCCAGTCTTTCCAGTCAGGCAACCTCAGCCTTCTCTACATGACCCCTTCCCCCTTTTCCTGTTTACTTGTTATAGTCAGTTTTTGTCATAGCTTCTCAATTCTGGCTCTGAAATAGCTCTGATATCCAGCCATGTTTGAAAACCTTGCTGCCTCTGCTACTTAAAAACAACCAAGAAAAGATATTTTTGAAGCATTACCAACTTCACTAAACCCCTATGATGTGCTACTATATGTCAAGAACTGTTCAAAGAGCGACTGAGCCTCACACTAACACTATGGGATAAGCATTTCTTTTTTAAATTACTGTTTCACAGAGAAGGAATGTGGAGAACAGAGAGGTTACTTCCTTGCTCGAGGCACATGATCGTAAAGGAAAAGGGCTGGGATTTGAACTCTAGTGGTTTGCCACCATAGTTCATCCCTGAATGACTAAGGAATGCTGTTTTAATTTAACTCATCGTCATCATGATGTATTGGAGGATGTGTTTGAACTTCTGATCTTTCTGCCTACACCTCTCAGATGCTGGGTTTACAGGTACCCCCTTTTTTTGTGGTGTTGAAGGTAGAAGCCAGGGTTTTGTATATGCTAGATAAGCACTCTACCTACTGAGCTACACCCCCAGTCCCAATTTAACCCATTATTATTTTTATTGTTATTGCTCTATTTTTTTCTGCCCAGGTAACACAATTACTTGGTTCAAAATGCAAAACTCGCAGAAGGGAACATGTCAAGGTCTCTGGAGGTAACTAACACAGTTAATTTTTCCAGCAGCATCCCAAGAAAAGGCTTGCATGCAGATCCCTCTTTTTTCCGTCAGCATCAGTCAGTGTACCGTTGTATCTTACAATCTAGGATACACTTTGGCACAGTGCCTTTTCACTTAACAACAACACACAGAGGATCGTTCCAAATCGGAATAGGAGAACTTTCTCTTTAAAGACTACAGATGGTCTATATTGGGCACAAGCAGTACCCCTCCCCCGTGCTCCACAAAGGGCTAGACAGTAAATATTTCAGGCTTTGGGGTCCATATGGCCCCCGTTCCATATGCTCCTGCTTCCTTTTTTCACAAAAACACTTTGAAAATGTATAAGCCATTCTAGCCCCTTGGGTCATATAGACATGGGCGACAAGCCAAATTGGCCCATGGATCCCAACACACTGATCCCTAAGCTTTTGTGTTCTTGACTCACATTTCTAAGTCTGGTCTTCTCCTATTATGCTGTCCCCATTATTTTTGTGGTACCAGAGATGGAGCCCAGGGCCCTATGCATGCTAGGCAAGTGCTATGCTACCAACCTACATCTCCAGCCACCTGATCATTTCTTGAACAAGATGAGCTATCTTCCTGCAAAACATCCCAAAGTTGCCATTGCTTCCTAAACCCTTCAAGGTTATCTATCCACTCTCAAGAGCTGGGCAGAAGGTACAGCATGTTTCATGATATACATTTATCTCCTCCTCTGGGTCCAAGTACCCACTGGTCCAAGTATCACCAACTTTCCCCCTCCATCAAACCCTCAGGAACCTATCTACCTCACTATTGCTTTAAATACAGTCTAGATGCAGCCTCAGGGGCATTTTGGAAGTGCCAGTCATATCTGGGATGTCCAGTGGGTTGTTGCTGCTCCAAAAGAACCAATATTCCATCATCTAAAGGCTACCTGCCCTGCTGTTGTCTCCTTTTGGCTCCCTCTGCAGTCATCACAGGAATGCTGTCTCTGAACAAGCTGGGCTTATTTTTGCCTCATAGTGTTATACCTTTGACAGGATCCTTCCACGGGTTCACACTCAGTTTGAAGGACACCTCCTCAGCACTCCCCCGTGCCCTCATCCTCCTTTGCTCTCTGTGTCCCTGTGGCCATCAGTCTCAGCTCTGCTGGAACACTGTCTGGCCCAGATGTACAGTGAGTGCCTTCTGATCTGATGGATGGGTGATGACCTCAAGCCAGTTTACTCTTCCTGGTGTGTGCATCTTTTCTCAGCTTGCTTTACAGCCTCCAGCTTTGCCATCTTGTTCGGCAATCATTAAACACACGTTTTTTGGACACCTGCACAGGTTGTCATTTCATTTCTTCTCAGAGTGACAAATTCCTACCATTCACCAATGCCCAGCTAAAATGTTATGTGTTCTACAGTTTTCATCTCTTCCCCAGATAAAATCGATTTCTTTTCTTTTGGCAGGCTCCCAGAGCACTGTGCACAGAGACTTCCACGATCACTTTGGGCCACTATTAACTACCAAACGTTTGTCAGCTGACTTATTTATATTCTGTGTATACATAGACAACCCCTTTCCATTTTTACCTGTAAGGAATCCTTAAAGGAAGGGGGGAAATGCTGTTTAAGGAGCCAGTTTGGGCATATGATGTAAGTGCATAGCATGTGGCTCTGTGCCAAAGGCTCCTTTAGCTCTCACAATAGCAAGAATGAGGCAGTGTTTCCAGGATCCGGACTTTAAGGAGGAGGAGGGAGTGAGTGCCCAGTCAGGTTGGCCACTTGCCCTGTGGCTCTGGCACGAATCAGCAGGTCACACTGCAGTCAGCTGTGGTGATGACTTTTTGATAGCTTGACTGCTCTCCAGTCAAGCTAGCGCAAGCACACACATCTCTGCGTCTCCCTGCACTGAGACCTGGGGCAGCTCTGAGGACAGAGGTCAGCAAGTGTTTCGCTCCCCTGCAGCAAGGTCCCCCCTTGAAGGGACACAGATGTCCCTTGGCCAGCTAGATGGAGTGGCATGGTGATGAGGTGTCCCTCTGCACACCTGTGACTGTGCCAGCCCCGAGGGCAGCCAGATGTCCTTGGGGTTTGCCTGCTGCCACCACATGCTGCTTACCCATGTGGACATAAGCTGCTCTGCCAGATCACTGCTGGGCAGGCAGGAGGGTGAGGAGGCAGAGGACACAAGGGCAGACAGAACTGAGCTCTCTAGATAAATGGAGAGAGACTCTTCTAAATTGCTCTTAGAGATCAGGGCAACAGGTAAGAAATAACATGTTTTCCCCAGAGGGCAGACTGCCTCTGTTGCAGAGCATTTCCTGATATAAAGGAAAGAGGTGCTAGACTACACTGGCTGTAGGCTCCATTCTCTTTGTGGGTACTGGACAACCGCTCATTGAGGAAATTCGGGGACAAGACTGGCTTGCAAACTTTTGAGTGATGCTATCCAAAGTGTGGTCCTTTGGCCAGAAGCACTGTCATCACCGGGAAGCCCAGTCCACGCCACACCCTGGGCCTCAGTCCAGCACTCAAAAGTCAGAATCTACATTTATCATGGATGGCCTTCCCCATCTGCTCTGAGCAGTTGGAAGCGCCTTTCAAGTCTGTGCAGCTTGGATGGAAGGTACTTGCTTAGATGCAAAGCTGGGACCCCATGATGTAAGGTTCTGATTTATTTGATCAGGACAAGACCCAAATATCTAGTAAGCACCACATGGCTCTGCCCACTGTTTGAGCAACTGTGGTATTGCTCACAGGCAGTGTTCACAGCAGAAGGAGCCCAGGCACTGCATGGAGGCATGCCTGAGATGGAGTCTCAGCTCACTCTTCATAACTAGGTAACCCATTTAATCACGTCGTCTCACCCAGCTCGGCATCCTCAGCTGCACGGCGCAGGCACCAATGTCTGTACCTTCAGCTGGCAGGTGTGAGGATGGGTATTCCCATCTAGCACTATATATGGGCATGTAGTAGGTATTTGACAAATGCTAGGTGTTATTAATTACTTCTAGGAGGCACAGTTCATTCATTGGTTGTGGTTGAACAGTGGGTGGAGCTGAAGAATATTAATCTCAACCACTGAGGATGTCATGGAGTTGTGGTGACTATGAGTTTTCTGTTGTTTAGCACTGGCTTTAAAGACATAGCCATCATGCTTTATCATCCATTAGCCTATGCCCTTTCATCCCCAGACTCTGATACAGCTGCCCTTCCCCTGGCCCTAAGAAAACGGTGGCTTAGATAGTTTTGCATGTTCATTCAATGGACACAGAGTTTTCCCCATGTGAGGCCCTGGGAAAGACACACATACACGAATCAGTTCATCCTTGGTGTCCACACAGCTGGGAGCTGAGCCACCGAGGAACCTGTACTGTCATGCATCGTACCGGGGCATCTGTAGCTTCAATGCTGTGGGACAGGTTTCCGTTCTGCACAGGTTCCGAAGCTTCACTTGATGGTGTCATTTCAACCTCCGTGCTCGTGCTGTTGGGAAGTTCGATTTTTTCTGTGGCATAATTTAAACACAGAGAGAACAGTCAGAATCAATGGGCAAAAGGGGCCATTGTTGGAAAGAACGCTCTAAAATGCTGCCCCGGTGAGAAGAAGGCATCTGAGACCTGAGCTGGTGTTGGGCACTGGTGAAGGGTTTTCACCATTCGCCATGTGCTGCCTCGTGCTCTGGTTTCCACCACACATGACATCACTGGAGGCCCTCTCGGCTGCCATATGTGACAGGTCATGCAAGGACACAGATGCATATCTTTGGCATTTAGATACAGACTGAGATGGTTGCAACACCACAACCCCACCCCACAAGGGATGCTAGGCTGCACTCTGTCACCATCAGCCTGCTGTCTTTGTCAGGCCCCTTTTCCTCTGGGCTGGGACACCTCCTCTATGAAGTGACTGGTTCCTTGTGGCTGAAGGCCAGGCAGGCACTGCTTTCAGCTCTAATACTTTCAGTCTTCATGCTACAAAACTGCCAGTGCCAGGAGGGGAGGAGGGGGCACACCTGTCTCTTTTTACAATCCTGAGAACACTCATAGCACATTCTGCACTGGGTGTCCTGTTCCAAGAAAAGCAAGGGAGAGCTGAGGCAAGGAAGGAGGTCCAAGTATGTAACACTTCTCAGAGAGAGAGAGAGAGAGAGAGAGAGAGAGAGAGAGAGAGAGAAAGAGAGAGAGAGACAGAGAGAGAGAGAGGAAAGAAAGAGGCCACAGATCAGCAAGTGCAGCCATGTTATTCTGAGAGAGCAGAGGAGGCTTAAGGGCACTGCTTAGGCCCTGGGACTCTGTAACACCCGGAACCAAACGGGCCTATTTTTTCACTCTCCCTCGATAGCTTATGCTTTGTGACTGTCAGCAGATGCCTCGACCTCTGTAGCATTTGGATTCCTCACCTGTAGAATTTCAGCACTGCTAACAGTGTCACTACTACCATCATTACTACCGCTGCTACCACTGCTCCTTTTGCAGAGAGGTTGGAAAGCGCATGTAAAGCACTCAGAACAAAGCCTGGGCGGAGCCAGCAAGCTGGGAATGAATGATCTGAATCTCTGTCACTTCACTGGCCTTCTGCAAGGTATTTTTTTCCCCTAGGGCTAAGAGAAGGCACCTCCAGGTGACCAGTGTTCAGGCCCCATTAGGTTCGACTGGAACGTAAGTGGGAGTGAAATAGAAAGTCTTCCATTGAGGTGGAGAGATGGCTCAGCAGTCAAGAGAACTTATTCCTCTTTCAGAGAACTGGGTTCAGTTCCTTGCACCTATGTTGGATGGACCACAACAGCCATTAACTACCGTTCTAAGTGGTCCAGCACTCTACTCTGGCCTCTGAGGGCACCTGTGTGTATGTAGGGTACACATAGACACATTAAAAATGAATAGAAATCTTTTAAGTAAAGAAAAACAAAGGCACTAGCGCTGACTCTGCTCAGGGTCAGGGGGCAATGCTTGTATGGTGCTGAGTCAGGAGTCAGGGTTACTGGGTGCAGTCTGCTCAGCTGTGCTAGATGTGAACAATCACAGGGTGGGTGCTCAAAGAAGAACAGAAGGGTTTTTTTTTTTTTTTTCCCTCCACCAGCAATTTCAGAAGAACCAAATATTTCTGTCATCAATGCATAAGAAAACAGAGAGTTATGTGGCACATGCCTAAAATCTCAGCACTTGGTAGGTAGGTGTAGGAGGAGGATTGCCACAAGTTCAAGAGTTCAAGGCCAGCCTGGGTTATGTAGTGAGACCCTATTACCCGCCCCTACCCCAACAAAAAGAACTTCATAAAAAAATGTTTGACTTGAAGTCGTCAAATACTGGAAATACTAGGAAAATGTTCATGAATTCAATTGCAGTTTCCTGAGGCACAAATGATGGTATGGAAAGTTAGGAATTTGGGTTTGCCTGATTCATCCATGATGCATAGTGTCGGTAGTGTGGGATGCTTTGTTGCCCACAGCCACAATGAGTTATCTCAGCATGTTTCACTCAGTTATTTAAACTAAAGCATACTAAGTATCTGGGGGATACGAAAGACCTCATACACACCCAGTAGCAGATTGCTAAGGCCAGACTTGATTCCAGAATCATGGGATCCAAAGAAGTTTTAGATGTTCCAGGATAGACACAGACAAATAAGAACCTATGTAACAGGCACAGCCTCTGACTTGAGTGTGCTTTTAAACCACAGTCTTTATTGTCACAGAAAATATGAAAATACATCCTGTGGTTTCTTTGGAAAGCATTGATTTTCCATACACACTCTGTTTGGTTACCACATCCTTCACTGGTCCCATCAGCAGTGGGGTTCCTTGGAATTATATGTCATGGATGATTAAATCTAAGCCTCCAGTCACCAGTCTGCAAGAGGAGGTCTGGGACTGAACCCAGCCACATAAATCTCCTGGTCCAAGCTATTTCATCCCTCAAAAGTAAAACCAACAAGCAGAGTAGAAAAAGTAGCCTTTGTAACTGAACCCAAAATGCACATGCAGAGCTTAACCCGGCAATTGCTTTCCCCGATGACCTTAAAACACAAAATTAAAACTCTGTTACATCTAAAAAAAAAAAAAAAAAAAATGTGTCCAGGTTCAGGGAAGCAGAGGGGATAAAGCAAAAACCTGCAGTTCATAACCCAGCCCTAGACAAAATTTGAACTGATTTGGGTCCATGACTTGTGTCTGTTCCCTGGCTGCAAAATTTTGCCTGGGCTAGAATTCAGGATGGTAGGAGAGGCAGGAAGTCGTCTATGGAGTATTTTGAGGGCAAAACTGTTGAGATTTGTCTGTAGATAATTTTAGTTACTTGGGCAATAGCTTCGTTTACAGCATGGATCCAGATTAGGCTAAATTTAGTTTGAATTTAGAGTTGAGAGCTATATTATAGTTACAGACAGGAGAAAGGGAACATGATGCCCCAAGTTAAAATAAGATGCCTGAATGTCACAATCTGGTCACACAGGAGTTCTAGAAAAGTCAGCCAAGGCAGACCTGAGCTGATTTTGCCTAACTTAATTTTTTTTGACCTGTGTATATGTATGTGATGTGAGCACATGCGCACATGTGTTCATGCATGTGTGTGTGTGGGGGGGGAGGGGGTTGTATACCTGTGCACATGTGTATGAAGGCCAAAGGTTGATATCTACTTTATTTACTGAGGTGGGGTGTCTTGGGGAACCCAGAGTTTGGTAATTTGTCTAGTCTAGCTATCTATTTTGTCCTGGGGAATGTTCTGGCTCTTAAGTGCTGAGATTACAGGTGGGACCACCGCTCCCATCCAGTATTTATGTGAGTGCTGTGAATTTCAGTCTTCACATTTGGGCAGCAAACACTATCTGCTGATCCATCTGCCCAGGCCCCATATTGCTGAATTTTTTAAAAAGAGCATGGACTCAAAAGACTCTGTTGGGGTAAGTGAGTGGTAATTTGAGGGTGGGGGTGCAGTGAGCAGTATCATAGGTATACAATTCAATCTCCAGTTAAGGGTACATAAGCAGGGCACCCCCACCTCTGGCCAAACATCAATGACTTGGGTGTGCCTCTCTTCTATTTTTCGTTTTCTGAAACCAAGTGCTTGTCATCTCTTGAACAGAATGCCTGGTAATTTGGTTAGAATTACCACTCTCCACAGACTTCTCTTAGTGTTATTGGTGAACAGACGTGTCCATTCCTGCCCTGTCCCAAGGGGAGAAGAGGGACTCATTTCACTGTTTAGGAAGGGCCTGAACTGGCACTGGGTGGAAGTGCCTACATTGGGTTTTGTCTTTCTGTGTAACCCCTGCCAGCTTCCCTATGGATATCTCTGTCCCGCATTCTCCACCCCCTTTGCCCACCACAGAAGGGCAAAGGATGGATACCTCTCACTCACCCACATGATTGGCAGCCCCGTTCTGCCTCTCATTCTCATCCACTTGGCATTTCTTCTTGGCAATCTTGTGGAGAATTGAAGCTTTTTCTCGGAATCTCCCTGAAGCAAGAGAAAGTGTGAGGAGAGAGACAGAGTGAGGGCCAAGGATCGCCAGAGCAGGGCTGTGGCCTCTCCACTTAGGTTGTATCACAACAGTGACTACACACTCCATCCGACCCAAATGTCTTTCATCCTGTTTTCTTACCAGGGTGGACATTTCAGCCCCCTTCGCAGAGAGCTGCAAGCTGCTGAACCATAGGGGAGAGGTGTGACTTAGACCTCTTCCTCCCCTCCCAGGTGCTCATAAATGCACGAAAACATCAAGTATTCCCCCCCCTTTATCCCCCCCCCCTTACAAGGCTGAAGATCCACAGCTGTTTTGGAATTAGATGCTCATCCCAGATTTGCTTTGGACAATGGCTGGGAAGGAAAGCCAAGCCCAGCAATCTTTCGACTTGACTTTGGTTTTCAAGCATTTGTCATTATTGGAGCTTCCAAAGGAGTCAGGGACAGACACCACAGCTCTCCAGATAAGCCGAGTCAGCTGCAATTAAAGCATCAAGGCCGAGACGGATTCCATTTGGGGATTTAGGGCAAAGAATGATCAACCGGGCATGTTGGTGATGAGACACTTTGGGGAAGGTGCTGGGAAAAAGCATCCATGCTCAAAGCCATTGCTGTAAACAGCTGTACCACGAGCGCAGCCTCTCATTTCTCCTTCATTATTGACGTAATTAATGGGTAAGTGCATGCGGTAAGCACACAAAATAGGCATGCAAAGTGTAGCCATTAGGGACACGAAACACATCTCTCTCTTTCAATCTTTCATTTTCTTCCGTGGGAACACTCAAGGTACAAAAGATTCTCATTTTAAACTAACTGATTACTGCCTAGATTCCAGCATGACGAGTCACTCAAAATATCTTCAGCCCCCCAATTTTCTCCTAAACTTTTTCTTATTATCAGGGGATCTTATTCTACTTTTCTAGTCAGAAGCAAATCAAATGAAAATATTTCTCTTGGAGAAGGCGTCCTCCAAGTCTGGGCATGGCCAGGCGAGCACCCAGGCCTCTTCCTTTGCCGTGTATTGGAATCATGACAGGTTCGAATGAGGGCTTCTATGACAGACTCAGAGTGATTGAACTATAAATGCCTAGGTGAAGGTGAAACAGGATGGGGTGGGTCATTTCTGCTCACAGCCTCATTAGCTACTCATCTAAATCTCCTTTAAAAAACTGTGTTTTGAGCAACATCATAAACTCGTGAATTTAACTTTATTTTGTTTCAATCCATTGCATTTTTAAAACTTATATGTATGCTATGGCATCCATGTAGGAGATCAGAGGACAACTCATGGGAATTAGTTCTCTCTTTCTACCATGTGGGTCCCAGAGATGGAAGTCAGGTTGTCAGTCTGGGTGGCCAGTACCTTTACTCACGAAGCCATCTTGCCAGCCCTTATCTACATTTCTTATTATACAAAGATGTCAGTCTAGGCAATGAGCGTGCAGCACAACTGTACTTTCAAAGGCATGGGGGGGGGGGCAGAGGCCATGAGAAGCAGGTTAGAATGTGGTTTAGACAGAGGGATAGCTAACTTTGATGGTCAACTTGACAGGGTAAGTGGTATGGAGGCAACTGGTCTCTTCGACACCCACTGTGTCTGTGAGTGCATTTTCAGAGAGAATAGATTGTGATTACTTCAGCTGCAACTGTGACTTAACTCCATTGTTGGTAGGCCAGTGAGGTGGTAGCACCGTGGCAGGAAAGATGTCATTGGAGGAAGATTTGCATTTTCAAGTAATAGCTAGATCCTAGCTCTTGCCTGGTACTTCTCTTTGTTTCCGGGCTCTATGCAGTAAGCAGCCTTTGCCACAGTCTTCCACTGTCATGATGCTCTGTTTCCCCTTGGTCCAAGTAACAGGACCAGATGATGAGGGATGGAGCCAGGATAAATCACTGTCACTGTGATGGAGAACTGACCAACTCAGACCACAAGGAATGGGAAGAATGAGGCAATGGGCAGGCGCTCATTCTGGAAGGTGGCTTGAACTTGTGTTTCTATTTAATCTCCATGGAAAACTGTGGAAAGAAAAGGGGAGAGGGAAAGACACTCTGGGGACTAGGAAAAGGGATGGGCTGCGGGGAGTAAAAGGGGGCATGGAAAGGAAGAGAAAAGAGAAAGAAGAATATGAAGGAGGCAGGTAGAGGTGTGACTGCCTGGTGGTGGCCCAGCATGGCTGCCAGCACTTCCTGGCTGCTGGCTGGAGCCTTCTCTGAGCCTTAAACAGATGGGGAGGGTGTCCTTTAGGACCCTGCAACCTTAAGCCTAAAGGGGCTACTCTGCGTGAAAGACAAGCTCAAGAAATTCCCTAATCCTGTGTTTTGTGCCCAGGGGAGCCAAAGGAGGTTTTGAAATTTCACTGGTGTTTGGGCAGACAAAAACATCTTTCTGCTATGGTGTGTGTGGGATTCACCTTTGGGCTTACATCACAATGTAGGTCTATGAAATGTACAGATCAAACACAAAAAAACGTTAAAGCAGACAAGGATGTGGGAAAAGCAAGCTAGGCTAACCTAGCCCAAAAATGCCCTCAAGTCACAAATCACAGCTGAGAAGGGGCACCCAAAAGCATGGATTGCCCATGTTCACAAGGTTCCTTCCACAGCTCATATATGTGCCAGACAGAAATGGTTAAAAGAATGGAATGCTGATGATGGTACCCTTGTCTAAAGGATTTTCTCTTGAAGCTTAGTTTTTAGCAAGGTTGGCTCTCACAGAGCCCACCAAGGAAATGTAAGCTTGGTTCAGCTCCTTGGATTGGTGCTTGAGCTTCAGGGAACCCTCTAAAATTCACCTCAAGTGTTAGGCCCACATTTAGGCGGGGGAACAGAGGGATGGGCATAAGAAAAATGCTGTTTTGTGTCTGGTAAGAAAGAATAGAGACACCATTGAATACTTTCCAAGGTGAGCCACAGAGTGATTTATTTATTTATTTTTAGCCTGAGTCAAAGCAGCCTTAAAAATATCCCCGGCTGTGGTGCAAACCCTGAAGGTGTTGTCTTTTTATATAGCTACAGATATTTGTATACTTAGAAGCCTCGGAAATAGCAAACTGGGCCTGCATCGTGAGGCACCTACGTCAAACCTGGTACACAATTTTAGTATAGTTTGATCTGAGATGTGCAAGAGTACCAGCTGAGTGTCCTCGCAGGAGGGTGTGTGAGGGGGTGGCCGGGGAACTTGGAAGGAAAAGATGGGAGCTGGGAAATGAGAACGAACAGAGAAACACAGCCACCCAGATCATTGGCTGGGTCTGTGCAAGCTGAAACTGGAGTCCCATGTCCCGCTGAGAAAAAACCTAGAGGTCTGTTCACTCAAGGGGAGTAGTAGTCTTGGCTTCTGTCCTGCTGTTAATTAATTAAAACAACCCCTTGGAAATCCCTTCACATTTCCCCCACCAAGCCTGTAATAGGCAAGTGTCAAAAGGGACCCTTTAGGTTTGTGATCAGATTCAGACTGTTGCAGCCTGAGGTTCAGCAATACGGGGCAGGGAGAGACAGACGTAGGGGGAGCCAGTCACTTGGAGAGGGAAAATAAATGGGGGGGGGGAGGGGAGAGGAAACTTTAAAACAAGTCTTTTCAAGTCTATTTCTGTGTTTTCAATTCTGCCTTTCCTGTGCCTTTCTTTGAAGTTCAGGGCTTGGCAGGTAGCTTTGAAAGCCAAAGGGCATCCGAGCTCCTGCCCGCCCCCCCTCCCCCCAGGCCCATCTATGGCTTCTTTGTCTTTCCTTGTGGAATCAGGCAGACAGGCCCTCCTCATTCTGACAGGGCTTTGACAGAACTGAGGTGGTGCCACCGGTTGTCCCAAGAGCCTCTCTTTTACAGCAAATCAGGTTTTTTTTTTTTTTTTTTTTTTTTCTGTTTTCACATTATTTCAGCTCACTTCTCCCTCCAGCCCTCCCTTCCCAAGTCCCACCAAGCCCCTCTACAGGAGCAGTTCAGCCAGCTGGTGTGTTCCCTCCTCCCCTTACCTCTCACCCCCAGGGATAGATACATTAGGTCATATTAATTCTTTCTTGGTTAAAAGGTCTGCAGTGCATCTCCAGGTCAGAGTTGCCCCCAGGGCTCTCTCTCATCCCTGACCACCCAGACCTTGTCCCCACTCCCTTCTTGCTCTGCCCTGAATAGGCTAGCCCCTTCCCTGTTTCTTGAGAACACTGTGCACCCTTTATCTTTGGCCACGACACTAGCTGGCCTGCTCTGTGCAATGCCCAACACCCCACTCCCAATTCCTCTCCTCCCCCAAACCAGAGGCTCACTGTTTCATCTTCTTCTAGTATCTGTTCAAATGTCACTGTCTCACCCTGGCCTCCCCGAGCAAACCTTCTCTAGCATAGGAAATGCTAGAGATAGGAAATCCCAGCTTACTTCCTCAGAGGCAGCTATTCCCATTATTGTTATTACTGTTGTTTACCTATTGTTTTCTACGGGCAGAAAAGCTGGGCGAGGGCAGAGCTTGTTACCATTGTTCCTTCTTGCTGCATTCTCAGCATTCAGCAGAACTCAACGAATCTTGTGCTCATGGTCTCCAGGCAAGTAGATAAGGCTAGACTTTCCCTCTTATTGACCATAACCTAAACTCAGGCCTTTCGGAAACTTCCAAGGTTATAGTTGTGCTGGAACAGAGAGATGTCCCAAGCCGAGAACTTTCTAGTGACAACTAGGAGATAACTGGGGTACAGTGAGTACTTATAGTCCAGTGATGAAAGGTTGAGCCCATCCGTTTCCCCATTCTGTGAATTTCCACAGCCAGCCCCCAGGCCCCCCCCCCCCCGCCACCTCCCAAAGAGTCTTTGGGATGGAAGAGAAGGTTTGGGAAATGTGAAGATCTGGGGAGAAAAGGCTGGGCCCTGCCCATCCTTTATGAAGTGGATCCTCACTTACTAGGAACTAACTTGAAGGTTTCTCTGTTGGTACCCACCTCAACCTGTTCAGAATCATGGCCTTGTCAGCTTCCTAGACACATACCCATTTTCACCACTAGAGGGCAGACTTC